ATTGTCTTACGTTTTGATAGATCAAATCAATTAAGATTTTACTAATAATAGAAAGCAAAGTACAGTATACAAAAATATGTTAACATGAATTATTGAGTCTTTATTTAAAGTTAATTAAATAAAATTAGAAATATTTACGGATATAAGATCATAATTTTGTAAATGATCTGAACATATCTGATAAATTCTGAAGTTTGCCCACGAACTTATTTATTAGACCTTGACTTTTGTACGTAAAGGTAACTAATACAGTAATTATTTCTTTAATGTTTCAAAAGGATTTTAGGTAATGTAATATGGACACTATTCTCCTCATTTTGCCTCTCATCTGGGCCGTTGTGCACTAAAAGATTTTAGGTTTATCAGATAAAATTTTATTTCATAAAATCCTTTATTTTACAAAGCTGAAGCAACAGTGTCTAAACTGAATAGAACTATTTGCATTGATATATCTAGCAAACAGATTGCACTGTATGCATGCAGACTCCTGACGGGTCGTCTATCTATTGAGACACTCGCACCACATTTCCGATGTTATCTGCCTCCAGCTACTGGAAACGGATAATTTAGTAGATAACAGTACATAAATCGTTATACAAATGGCTCGGTTGCAACGCTACTGAAGATAATTGCCCGTTAAATTCCTGGTACCTATATACCTTAATAATAGCAGGTAACATTAAATGTAAATATTTACTAATAACACGGATAAGACAATTGCTAATATGATGATTTGAGTACTAATAAAGTAATAACCATTAACATCATTTTCATCCCTCTATTTAAAAGTTGCACATTTTTATATATTTATAGACGGCCGCGGTGGTGGTTTAAATTAGCTTAGCACTCCGCCTTTCTTCGTCGCGGGTTCGATACCTTGAACAGTACACACATTAATGAGTATAATTGTTTGTATCAGTCTGGGTATTTTCTATGTATATTATGTATGCATTTACAAAAAAATGCATCTATTTATTTATATCAGTTGTCAAGTTCTGATAACATACAAACATAAAAGTGACAATATAAGGTCTTCGGGATAAAGATCATCAAGATGATGACAGATTAAGCTGAGATTTCTAAAATTTTCCACCCACTAGCTGGCCACCCTATAGCCACTTTCTGGGGTTCTAGATCTGTCTAGATTCAGTAGATAGGCTGGATGCTAGCACTAAATTGTGAATGATATATCTAAATACATTAATTATCTAATTGACTACGTTTTGCCAGAAATTATAGATCTATTACTTCCTGGTAGATGTCCAGTTGTTAGTATATCCGTAATTGACGAAACTAGTAGTCGTATGAAAATAATAATCAACTATGTATAGATATATATTTGCCTTTGTATGTTTATTATATTCATGTCATTGTGTATAAATTATTCGAAGTATTCAAACAATTTGCAAATAATTATATTTGCTCAATATACTGGTAAAGCAGTTTTCAAGTTACCATAATTTACCGATCTTATAATAATAGCGAAATTAAATGTTATTAGCAAGTTTGAAACATTGCTGAACTGTGTAAGTTATACACACAGCTAATAGCTAACTCCATAGTTTATTGAAGTTATTATGAAGCTGGAAATTCAATTTAAGTACGTACAAACAAAAATCTTACTTTATAGATGTTAAATACTAGTTATAATACTAATATGATCTGTGAATAATCAGTAGACAGAAGCAAATAACTCTTGTTTTTTTAATCTTGATATATATATCAACATAGAAACTTTCATCCCCTATTTTATTATATTTTGGGTTATTAATATTATATAACAATGCTCATTTTGTCTACATACACTGTTGCGCAAGCGAGTGCAACACTCCATTATCATAATTAACAAAAATTGTACCATTAGTTAGATATATGACATGTAGACAAATTTCAAAAACAAGAAAATTGTATATATTAAGATAATATGATTATAATATTTACATATATGTCACTTGATATTTTATCACATATGTCAACTTTGCGAATTTAAGATTAATTTTGCTGATATTTCAAGAAATACTATCCATTCATTTAATATGATTTACACCATTAGGCTTGTATTAATTTTGCTACAATTTATATGTAATTGCGGCTATAAAATAGAATGTATTATTCATCAAATTATCTTCTATTTTATCTAGTTAAAAAATGCTTTTAATTTCGTCGTTTAATAATGGCCCTTTGGATCTATTCACTAAAATAGACTCACGCTTCGGTAGTATTGTTTACTGGGGATGAGTTCAACCGTGGAAAAGCATCTATTCAGGAGATTGTCTGGTTCGCTCATTGACGTATTACGTATTTGCTAAAACACTAGAGAAGACGTACTCTTATGAAACAGACAGAGCTTTATACGCATTGGTGTAGTCGCAAAATTTGTTTATAAAGTTATATTTATTTATTATCAAAAATCAACAGTTCTCTTCCTTGTTCGGAACAAGAGTATGTTTTTACATTTTATGACAAACTGACGAATCCTGTTTAAAAAACCCTGCAAAGTTCTATATATCTCTATAATAATAATTATTATAGAGATATATACTTTTTTGTAAATATAATACTCATTAATAATAACTTACTTGTACGTATAATTAGTAGTAAACACAGTTTATTAGTAGTTAAAACAGTATATAAATAACTTACTTTTTAAATTATTATTTAAAAAAATTAAATTGTGCATTACAAATAAAAAAATCATTATATCGTCTTCACAATATTAATTTAAATAGAAAGTCAATAAGTAATTAAATAAACACTATAATTCTCTCGAAATATAGGATTTAATCAACAATTATATTCTCTAGTCATTAGTTACTCTAGTAAGTATCTCAATGGTTCACTCGAAGATTTAGATCGGAACCTGTCACCGAGAATCCGTACGGACTTTTATTTCTTCTTAAACTATTTTCGCTGAACAAGAATTGTGTGCTATACGAGTACGAGATACACATTTTGTCAAGGACGTGTTTGCTTTGGAAGCTACAAACTTATCGTGTTATCGGATTGTCTATTATCTATCTATCGGATTACTACACAGCATGACTTTCTCACTTAACATTTTTATCTCACAAATAAATTGTGATCCTTTATCAATATTTTAAATTTGACAGAGATTTAAGCCCTAGTGGTTAGCTACCGCGATTTAAAACGAAAAAATCGTTTTTTATGTATTTTGGCAGACACTAGACAATGAACTGTGTGAATACATATTTCTAACTAAAAATCCCGTTATGAAAACACCGATTGTAACAACTTATGTAATTCAGAAATACTTTGGTAGGCTTCTGCCCTATCACGTAGAATTCAAATGTACAAAGCAAAACGTGGGCGTTTTAAGTGATGCGTTCTACCACGACATCAACAGTAGATAATGTTCGAATACCCCATCTGGGATAACAGTCGTTCAGTTTATGTATTAACATTATATATATGATAATTTTTGAAAGTTGTATGTTAAAATCTGAAAAAAAATGTGTGTATACAAATAATCTAATTTATGCAAAACAGGAAACTATATCTGTCCATTCATCTAATTTATATAAGTAAAATTCCTTATTATTTAGCTTATGATTACAAAAGTATGCGTTTGTTTCTTGGGTTTCTATATTGCGTTGCTTTGTCATATTAGGAATATTTATTTTTTTGTTAAGTTTATTGGCGGTCCGTGATGTAATGAAGTGTAAGTAATGAAGGGCACGCATAGGTTGCGTGTACTCGTAGTTTTAATCGATTTAAGTCACAAAAGCAGGGTTATCAACCTTAAAACTTTAAGCCATTAAACATCAAAATTTTTTTTTTTGGTAATTAAATTCTGACTTCGTAAATTATCGTATCTTAACCGATTTTCGTCGTTAAAAATCACACACATGAGGATGAAATGTACTCGTAGAGAATGTGAAAAATCCCGAACCTACTAACTCGAAAATTCTAGTTCTATTGGCAACCCTGCACAAACTCCATTAAAAACGTCACTCCGTTCAATGAACTATTGTATCGACTGTAGGTACACAAAGCACGAAAAATTTCATTTATATAAAATAAAATAATCCCAAGGAAAATAGATGAGTGATCGTACTAACAACGAAGTTAGTTGTATTGTAATAAATGTATTTTTTTAACTATTAGTCCCCACGGTGTTACCCGAGTATTGATGTTACTCATAACTTTAAGCGTTTTGAATATAGTAACATAATATATAGCCTATGTTACCGGGTTGGGCAAATACATGCTTGGGTTTAATTTAAATATATAATATTATCTTTTGTGTATATAAAAAACTAAATACAAAATACTTTCAAGTCATGTATTTGAAAAGTACACTCAAACTATATCTGACTGCTAATTAAAAATCATCATAATAAAACTTGAACTGAACTTTCTCTCGGAAGTGAAATTATTATAGATTATTAACAAAACACCGTAATTTATTGTTTTATGTATGTCTAATAAACTAGATATATTTTATCATATTGTAAAAGAAATCATATTAATTCAATAGAGATTAATTTTTAATCGAGCACATCAAATTTTTATAACTTTTTTCTCCGTCCAATGTAACATAATTGTACAGTTCATCAAGCAGTTTCAGCCAATTTTATTGATTGATGATTGGCTCGTCAGTTATGTTCGTAAATTACTGATACCTCTAGAGACCAGTTTGTTCAACTTTACTATTTTAGTTTATTTGCTATATCGGGTGCATTTTGTAAATTTATGCAAATCGAGTCAATTCATGATGAAAATTCTACTATTTAAAAATAAGCTTTTTTAGAAAATTTTCAGATTAAATAGTCATTACTTATGCTATGTCATAAGTAATGACTATTTATTCTGAAAATTTTCTAAGTAGCAGCAGCAGACGAACAGCGGCAGCAGAACTAAGCAGAATAAATATCCAGAAACGAAATAAATTATTCATATATTAAATCTATTTTAGAAAATATTCAAAACAATAAAATTTTTGTTTGTATACGTTAAATAATACACGTGTAATACCACTCATTTTTTATTAGCGCTACCAGCGATATATTACAATTTATTCAGCACATTTTAAATTAAGGAATGTAATTTACATCTCAAGTTTTGTGAAATTGCAACTAGCAACTTGTACATTATTTACAGTAAATATTATGCAACTTATAGTCGTGACAACCATTTTTTTAAATATATTAAAGATAATAAACACAATATATATGGCTGTCTAATTTTTTCATCTCTAACGTATTTTAAATAAACCCCAAATTTATATCTACCAATCTAGAAACTAATCCCAAAAAATATTATAAACTTAAGCTGTGTTGTATAGTCCATAATCAGCTGCAGAAATTCTCAAGTTTTCTAAATGGGCAGCATACATGGCATCACTTGCCAAACAAACGGCGGTTTTCTTGAGTTGACTTAGAACATCATCGTACTCCTCCAATTTCTTCGGGATTTCTGCAATTTGGAAAAGTAATTAATTAGCATGTTATATAATCAAAAAGTTTAATGCTAAATTTTTATTAGTAAAGGTGATATATATGTATAAAAGAGACCAACTCTCAGCATTCTATGAATTCACTGTGCTGGAGTTGAATATATGGTAATGTATCATGATTATTATAAATACCAGAATGTATGATAATTATTAAATGTTCTATACACAGAATAAAATTGTAAGTGAAAACTGTATTTTTGTTTATGTGCCTTTGTCTACGGTTTCACGTAAACACGGCTGGAGGAATTAGGATAAAATTTACAGTCACAACAGTCTGTTCAAAAGATTAATCTAGTAACACAACTGATGTCTATCGATCATTGTAAATATATCATACCCTTGACTAAACCATCCTTAAATGCAGCAGTTGTTGTAAGCTTAGGTTCACCAACAACACTGCATTGTTTTTCCTCTGGTCCGATCATAAGTCCTTTGAATTTCTTATCAGCGGTTACAGTTGGGGTCAATACATACTTCAGTTTTTCATTTAAACCTGTAAATTATACAAAAATCGTGCACTTTTTTTATAAGCACAGATCTCTCTAAAGTTATTAAAACATATCAATATTGTAATCATTATATAAAAGTCTCGATTTAAACTTATAATTTTCATTTATAATCACATTTTAATGTACTAAATGTAATGACTTGCATATTTTATATTAACGAAAATATAATAATGGAAAAACTAATTAAAAATTGTAGCTTAAAAAGTAAGGTCAATAAAACTTGGTAAATACAAATTAATATAACAACAAGGTATTTGAATTCTGTCATGAATTAACTAGTATAACATTGCCTACAATTAAAGTAATTTCTTAATTTAGTGCAGTACACGACGGTACCGGTAGGTATATAATGTTCTGCATATTCGTTTATATGTACGTATTCACAACTACATATACAGCGATTTCTAAATATGTTATAATTATGAATATATCACCAGAGGTACACTGTAAGACTATGCAATCACTGTATAAGAGGCATGATATTACCCTTTGTATTGGCAAAACTTAAGTGCTATTACGGGTATAAAATGATAGCGTGATGTTTATATATATAGGCGATGGTTATGCCTTACGACGGTAAGGGTAAACCATAGGCGGACTGTTAGTTTGTAGTTGGCTATTTTTTTATGTATTAATCAAATTAAATAAATCAATAATTTCTATTTTAATACCTAGTCACTGAGATGAGATATTATTACAACTTAAAATGATATTATAATTAATAAGTGTTGCAAATTCATACTTACTTGATTCGATTGTAATAGGTCCAGACAATTGCTTTCCAGATTCAAGGGATTTGAGAAGCATGTCACCAGTCATTATCACGCTTAATTTATGGTCCACATCTGCATCTATGGCTCCATCCTTTGGCGTAAATCTATAACATAGAATAGTAAATTATAAGAAAGGAAAACACCTTCAACTATAATGCAATGTACAGTAAAACTTTTGTGAAATGCGTTCAAATACACACTAAAATGATTCTGTACTACTGTACTGTTTACTACTCTGACGTACGTTTTTCTACTAATATGTATGTTACCGTTACACTACACTATTTTGTAAAATAATATTTTTAAGTTCCTATAAATTATTGTAACGACCTTCGTTCGGTCGGGAAGTAAAAGTTGATACGAACTCTGATAGTAGACACATCAGTATTTGATAGTATAATATATGTAAAAATTATTTAGATATTTACAAATTGCAATACGGAATGTAATTAAGAAATTAAATTATTCTTTTCGTATTGTAATAAAATTCTGTCTCCTCTTCTTAAAGTAGTAATCATTAAAAATCTTATATTTAATGAACTTACTTGCTGTTAGTAATCTCCTGATTTTTGAAGCCAGTCACAACTACATTTTTAAGCTCTACCAACAGTTTTTCCTTTTCAAATGTGTGTGAATAGTGAGGGATGAGGAAAGGATCAGTTGATTTTAAAGTGGAGTCTGGGGTTCCTCTGCTAGCTTCTCGTAAGAATTTAGTTTGACTTTTTATAAGACAATCAGCATCATTCACACTACAAGGATCAACTTTGATGATTTCTGAAAAAAAAAAGATTTTTATGTAATCTGTAGTGGTGATCATTGTAGCTATATACTAAATCAGCTCGACCTCCGCGCAGTCCCCTCTGGAAACCATCGTTAATTTGTGGCAAATTTTTCAAGAAAGGTTTTCTACTTTCTTCTTCCCTACTTCATGTTCATCTTACTATCCTTCACTGGGCCTCGCCAGAAAATATCATTAGTACAAGCACCATTCCATTATCATTCATAAAGAAAATACTTCTAAACTAGTAGTAGTAAACTAGTAGTAGATTATATTATTTAAAAAATATGGAGTATAATATTACTGATTTTCGTGTATATAAGAAACAAGGGATTCAATTTAATAATTTAAAAATAATTACTTACGTGATAAAGCTTGTTGGGAAACTAAGAGGACCAGAACTGTGCTTACGCTGAACATCTTGAATGTAGCAATGTTTAGACTTATCTGAATTGCAACTGATTTTGATTTCTGTACCCTTACTTTATATATGAAACTGTGCGGGATGAATATGTTATCTACCTATATTAATTATCATAATTATCTTATAATTACTGTAATAAGATCAATTATAAGGGTCCATAAGTTATCACTGATGATTACGAGTATTACACTAATTGTAAGAGATAGGATTTCTAATCACCGATGGATACAATGCCCTTACTAATTTAACTAGACGTAAATATGTTATATATTCATAATTAGGCACAAATAACATACTGAAATAATAATAATAATAGTACATATTGTATACGTATAATAATATTTTTTACATTATTAATTACATACGTGTGGGCCAGAAGTATGCGACCTGGTGTGTAACAAACAACACTCTTGTAACAAAACTAGTTTAAATTAATATTCTTACTTATTTTCTAATTGTATGTCCTGTTAGGACATACAATTAGAAAATAAGTACTTTTGTTTCCTAAAATCGTATTTATTACCCTAAGGCTGTCGAAAAACTGCTTTCTGCAATAAGGCTGCCTTTTTGTATTCATTAGCATTTGTTCATTTTACTTTACTTTGAAACTAAATGTACTTATCTTCTATCATTGTATAATGCAATAAAAGTATATTCAACTTTTCTTTCTATATAAAAGTAGGTGTATTTTAAGTCCATCTATGTCTGTCCTTGTGACTTAATAATAATATGTTTAAGTAAAATTTTATTAAGATCTGTTCAGTTATAAAAGGGTAAGAATCAGGCAGACAGACACACTTTCGCTTTTATAATATTAGTATAGATACTCGTGTTTAGTGAGAGACAAAGCGCACACCGGTTACAACAAACTTTCTGAAGTTGAATGTCCTTCTAATGCATCCGGCCGCACATAGTTTTGCGGCTACAGTGACTGCTTTCAAACTATACGGAAACTGGATACAAATTGCATTTACTATCTAGTATACAGTTCTAGTAGCTCGATGTAGTTAAACAAGTAGTTTGAAAATTCCTATAATCTATTATGATACTATAATCTATTATATACTATTATATACAGAATATCAAAACAACAAGATTATCCCTAGCACCGGAATAGCTTTCCTCAGGCAGCAGTCTTCAGTAAAATCCCTGAATAGTCACCCCGCTTGGGCCGTTGCAGGCACAACTCTATGAATGCGGAAATCATGCGACTTCGGAATAGTCTCAAACTATATCCTATTTTCTGTCTTGTTATTTGTATAGTCTATTATGAAGCAGAATCCTAACAAAACTGCCGACTGTATCAGAGAGCTCGATAAATTTAGGTTGTTTTTGACTCGACTTTGGTAATATCAACAAGAGACAATATATATGTAGTTATTATTTGTTACATATATGTATATTTTGTTCGATATTATATAATAGTGGTATACAGCAAGCATATAGATATTTTTTATTAATTCAATCTTTTACACCAAAATAAAATTTATTGGTATACTGATATTCGAAATTTTATCCTTGTGAAGTCGTTATTTTATACTCACATGTTACGTGACCGCCTTTCTTTACAAGGAACCTTTATAATTTCGTCACAGTAGTCAGTAATTAATTTTACTGAAGTATAGTACATTTTTTACGAATTTTTTTTATATCTATTTGTTACTTATATCAACCGCCAAGTAACTTATTTCGTAAGATGTGTTTCCATTGAAGGATGAGATCTATAAAAAAATAAAGGGGCTTGACAAATTAGTGCTCCAAATTGGGAAAGCATAAGTGGTAATACACGTAGCATGATGACGTGATGTCCCTGATGCTGTTTATACACATATACCTAGGCGATGGTTTTGTTTCTACCATATAAATAAACTTTATCAATTGTAAACCATATTTTTAGAATTGGTTTTATACATACGCGTATATGTAATATAAAAATAAGTAACTATAGTTAAATTGAGAACCCTATTATTGAAGTTGGTTAAAAATTATTTGTAAGTCTATACTACTGTAATGTTAGTTTAATTATATCAATAATGTAATTAACATTGATCTATTGCAGTCAATGATTGTTATGAATCATATCTAGTAATATATAATCATTAATAATTATTACTTGACTGTAGGCATATTTTCCATTCAAATGACCTATTCACCTAGATGATGATTTGATGTTGCCAAGTGTCGATATAAGATATACATATATATATATATCCTAATACCTATTTGTAATATTATCAGAATACGAGTACCACATAATTGACCTTACCTTCCATATTTAATTGCTCTCCTTAAAATATAATATAATAAACGCGAAAGTTTGTGAGTACAGATGGATGTTTGTTACTCTTTCACCTAAAAACTACTGAACAAAAAGTTTCATAAACATCCGTTCATGAAACTTTACAGTAATATTGCTTATACATCGTATCACATATCATCATATCACGTATTAAATTGATTAGCGTAATAACAATAACAAACTATATTTTTAGGGATTTTACATTTTAGTGGATATTATTAGATTAATCTAACGGCATACACAATTTGAAGAAAATCAACGACTGCCAATTGAATCTGAAAAAGTTGTATAACAATAATTTAAAGTTTCCTTAGACATCCGAAACAAGTGTTTTGAATCAAATTATGCCAAAGCTGATTTCTGGAATTTTAATCATCCCTATTGGACGAAATTTGCCCTTAGATTTTCAACCACATCCAAAGACTCCGAAACAAGATCGGTGCAAGCATGGTTTGAAGAAATAGGATGACGTTACACTGTGGTAGTATGGAATCTATTATCACAAAGAATATTTGCAACTTCAAAGCAAAATATAATATAGTTGTAAAAGTATGCAACTGCTTCTAGAATTTTTTTAAATTGATTCCCATATAAAGTAGGACAATTTTACTAAACGACTACTCGGTAATATTTCTTATTTTTCAGACATTTTAATATCAACATATTTTATAATGTGAACGTTGTACAAGAGGTCTATTAACTCTCCGGGTTATACGAACTGGATCCTAATATAGCTCTCTAGGGATTGAAACCCCTCTCAGTGCCATCTTTTTTCACGTAAAATGAGGACTATTAACGCATGACACTTTCATAAACGACGAGTATTTTGTATTCCCATACGAATACAGCACTTGTTCCAATACGTGCTATAACTGTGGTAGGGTAGGGTATTGCATAACACATAACAATAGACTGACGCGTATTGTACACGACCACGAGTATGCCCCAGAAAATTGGATGTGTCGGAACGTAATGTTGGGATGTTGTAGATAAACTATAACAGATTGTAACAAAGTCGCTTTAATTGTACATTGTTTTGGAATATCGAGTAATGATAAAACATTCAATTGAATCTCCCTTTGTTTATGTACGAAATGAGGTCAGGAAATATGAACTGATTCCTGGAATACTATGGAGTCGGTAATTGCAATATCATTTAAATGTTTTCTCTATCTGATAAAGCAAAACTGCTTAGTTTAATGAATAAGGCTCTATTCTATATATAGCTCGTTGTAGCTTGGATGCCGATGACAGCTGTAATTTTCTTATCGTGTATAATTTCTAGAGCAGTCATTTCAATATTATTTCGAAGATTTCACTTAATTTGTATTTTTGTAGAATATTTTATTATATAGAACACAATGAACGTTTATAAAGTATTAATTATACATATGTATAACAAGTCAAATTTTCGGATGCCAATGCTCAATAATAGTAGTATTAGGTACTCTAAACATACAAAAACAAACAAATATATTGTTACGACTTGAACTTCGGATGTTGTAGTCAGAGGCATTGTTAATTGTCAACGACATGATGAACATGCCCTATTCATCCATTCATTTCGCTGGAGTTCTTTCTGTCACGTTGATCTCAAACACGATCAACGTAACATGAGGAGGAATCCTACCGATTGAGTATTTGGTTTTCTTAACAATGCTTTCTTCTTCTTAACCGGAAAATCACTCTAAAACATAAATTTACGGGTACAAGGCGATGCAGTAACCACTAAGCCACGACTCTCTAAATATAATTTTATATCATTTGGTATTTCTCTATAAATTATATATATAATATAAGATAATATATAGAGTAATACCAAATAATATAAAATTCGCTGTTCTATTTATCTAGAATAATTCTTTTTTATCCATACTTAGAATTACTTCTAGGAAATTATGGTATGCCACATACCTACTTACAATATATTTATTACCCTATCTGTAATTAAAGCCACAAATATACCGTTTTGTTCTTGTAGATATTAAAAATACCATTTTATTCTATATTAGCTGGAAAGAACGCCTGTATAGTTAAGCTCACCTGTTTTACATCTAATTTTAATATTCATTTTTACAACATAAGTTATGCAATAACCTATAAATAAAAGAGGAATACAATAAATAGAGTTTTTTTATTAAATTAAAACCGAATGTATTTTATATTTCTTCAAAGCAAGTCTTCTACGAGGTAGACTGAAAGAATAAATTGCCATACTGACTAGACAAGACTTCTAACCTTATAATATATACAACACTAGCTTTATCCACATGCATAAGTGTAACTCGTCTCATTCACCTCGATTAAACTCTTGTATGTTGATGTATATTAATAACTAGTTTTATAATATAAAACTATCACGGCTATGTCGGCACTGCCCAAACACAACCAATATTTTTCGTATAACTCGTGGTATGTAGCTTTATATGAGTCAATTTTAAAATAATATTTTTAATCCGTCAAGTTTTTTAGTACAGATTTTACAAACATAGAAAAATAAGATCTTTCGTCTTTAAATTTATTTTCAATACTAGGGATCAATATCTAATATTAGTATTTTTAAAATTACTAATTTAACGGTAGCATAGGCTACATGCTATATTTCAGACGTGCACTCTGCTGGTAACATTGCACTGACAATAACAAATTAGCTTTCGAATCGTACCTATACTATGTAGTGTTCATATATGTTGAATCACCTTACAACGTCACCTTTAATACGAA